ATATATAGACACTGTATTTTTATTCTGTAAATTAGATGTTTGTGTAGTCATTTTTTGGGGAAAACTAGTTCTGTGTGGCTATGATAATTATATCTTCCTGTCTCACTTATCCAGCAAACCATACTCCACCCCCACCGGATTGATCCAATTGGATTTTAAATAGGATCATTTAAAATTGGTTACAGAAATATGTTATTGATATTTTTACAGTCTCTCAGCTTTCAATTTGTTGAAACTGTTAGCTTTATAATTTTCCATTTCTGTGATTTTGAGCTATATTAGAAAACTGTGCTCACCTCTTACTGTTTAATGAGTAAGATAATATGGGAGGAAAAAGTTACTCAGATGTGACTGAGTTTTAATTAAGTTGCATGTAAGTTTACTGAACAAACGCCTTAGTATGAGGTGCTTTTATATATTTTGTGTGCTATTAGTTCTCTTATAGTAGATTAGATAATTTAGGACCATCACCTTAAAACAAAATGAAAATAACGACAAACTCCGAATTACTTCTGTGTAAGCAAAAGGTTCCTTATATACAATTGCAAATTCTGTTTTCTTAGAAAATACCATTTTATACATAGTACATACATGTAAGTTTTTAAAGGTTTTATACTTGACAAAACTTTAAATTTTCTTTAAAATGTATACTTAGCACTATGTTATTGCAAAAGAAGACACGATTTAAAGTTTGCTTTTATTTTAGCAGTTTTTGTGTAGAGACCTGCACTTCATGCCTGGTCTGCCCAATTTCAGCGTTTTTCCCCCTTGCCTCTGCTTGTCTTTTTTGCCACCTCAGCCAAGACCTTCCTCTGTGAACTGTGGTTGAGAGATTTCCTTGGCTTTGCTGATCTCTCCTGTCTCTGCTACATGCTAACTTTCCAGATCCTGAGAAAAAACAGACTTTCTTGTTACTGCAAAATGCCACCTCCTTGTCACATGATTTCTTTTAAATCCTCCAACAACCTTAATAAACTCAAATCACATACTTTTATGAACCTGGTCACAATTTAGGAATGTTTTAGTTCATATGAAATTGTTAAACTACAAATGATAAAAATTCTAAAGCAGCCAGGCCTTTGACTTCAGTGTAGTCATCACATCCCACTTCTAAGCCTCCAAACTCCAATTACTTTCTGACTGTAATCTCTTACTCTCCTGCTTCACCCCCAGTCCCTCGCTCTCACTGACTGTCGTCTTCCTCTCGTCTCTGCCTTCTGTGCCAGGCCCAGGCCCAGGCCGCCGCTCCCGCAGTCTCTGTTTCTGGATCAAACTGGCTGCTCAGTGCCATTTCCTTGCTCAACGTTGGGTGCTGCACTTGCTTATTTCTGTGACCAGCCTTCCCTGAGAAGACACCCGCCCTCCGCAGGCTCGGGCACATTTGTCTTGAGCATCGCTGCGGCCCTCACCACGGCATACGCTCTGGCTCTGGATCATCTCGGGATCGCTTCCCTCCTTTGTGACTGTTCCTTGGTCACAAAAGTGCTTATTGAGTGATTGAGGGCCTATACAAACACTCTTGAAAGCAATTTTTTTTTTTTGGTAATTAGAATCTGTTATATACAGATAAGGATAACAACTAGGATGTGGAAAAATGTCTGTTACAGAGTTTAATGGCATTAAAAAAAGTAAAGTTCATCCTAGGTTTATGCCTTTTTATGGTCTGTTTGAGTTGTGAAGGTGTTTGTGCTGGAACCGTGTAGGACTGCTCCATTTTAGGAAAAGTATGCTTTATCCTTTTACAACACAGTATCTTCAGACAGTATTCTAATGTAATTGAATATTCACTCAACCACATCTGTATTGTTTTCACTACTTTTCTGTTTTTTGTGTGTTTTTTTTTTTTTTGGTAACTTGAGAAAACTAACATTTCACCGTTAGTGTTTTTTACCTGATGTGCTAGCAAATTAGACAAGCTTTCAATAACAAATGCAAGAAAGTCACTGAAATTCCTAATCCCTTAGCACCCATATTTATAGTTCAACAAAGTGCATGGATTTGCTTGTCTTTTTTCCTTTTAACTTGTGGCAAATTACTGGCTAAATTGGGAATCAAATCACATGTTGATTTTTCAAGATTCTCTTATTAATAAAAAATTCCTCTTTATAATTGGTGAAATAGTGATTATTGACATAATCGGAATTTTGTGGCCCATTAAAATGTTTTTTGGTCTGCTATATTGAAACAAAATGGAATTTGTGGTGCATCTCAATTCTTTTATTAAAGGTTAGACTCAGGAAAGCTTTTTTTATGCCTACTCAATTTCTCTTGTTACAAACTGTACATAAGTGACAATGAGTTTCTCCAAATAAAGCTGTGGTTATTTAAAATGGACAGAAGACAGAATTTCTGCATTTTTGTGTGTGTGTGTATCCTGAACCAATCAGCAATTGTTAAAAAATATGAGTATTATTTGTGTTTTCCCAGTACAATGATTAAGAAATGTTCATTCATAAAATTGGTCCATTTAAAAAAAAATCATGAAAATAATATATTCTGATAGTTCACTATATATGTTTTCGTTCATTAGGGTAGCAGATGCATTCTTTTGGAAGCAGTGATACAAAGCTGACCCTGAGCTCTCAATGTGGAGGCAGGGGCTTAACCTTTTCTGGGGACCTGCTATGCATTTCATTTATTAACATCTTTTAGCACTTCCAAGTAAAAGCCAGAGGTCTGGTTTCATGAGCTAAAGTGAACTGTTCTTTAGGATCTTGAGTCTTTCGTGGCAGTATTATTTGTTGCGTTTTTTTCTGCCTTGACTGCCTCCTTTCTCCTTCTGTTGCCACTGCTTTGTCAGGCTTTCATCTTCTCTTACCTCGAGTAGTTCTTTCAACTGATTTTCTGTTGCCCAGTCGCTCCCCTTTCTGCTCATTTTTCCACACTGCTTTCTTTCTCAAATGTACACCTGATTTTGTCAGTTCTTGCCTGCACTCCTTCCATAGTTCTTTACATAGTGCTTCCCATGACTTGCCTCTCTTGTGTTGTATCCAAAAATCCCCTCCACCCCACCCTGCTTCAGCCTCCTCTGCCCATCACTGGTTCAACTTTGTATTAATTAGCTGCGATGTACAAACTCCTCTAACCAAGACATAACTTATTTCTTCTGATTATGAGTGAGTAGAGGATAAATCTCATTCCTAATTCAGACACTTAAGATCTTCATTTCTTTAATTTTTCTTCCCATGAGTTTCATGAGGGCCCTTACTGGGTTGGCTGGTAATCATCTTCCTGCCTCTTAGTAATAATTTTAGAAGTGTAGTGTCCATACAGTTGTGTTATGTTTTCTTGGTAGTTATTAATGCTGAATGTGTGTGTCCTTTTTATATATCTTCTCTGTATACTTAATTTATTACATCATTCTGAACTGAGAAAAACTTCCTTAGGTATAGTAATCATTTAGCTCTATTTACTCATTAACTATAATCATGTTTGTACATCATTTTATCATTTATAAAGGACTTAAGTATTTGTTAATTTATTTGAACTGAACAATTGTATGAGATGACTATAATCAACTTAACAGACTAAGAAGCTGACATCTACAGGGGTCAGTGGAATGGCCTAGTGCCTCCCAGCTGGGTGGTTCTCTGTAGGATCATTCTGCCTCCCCCAACATCCTCTTTTTTTTTTTCTGTACTTACTGGTCAAGACTGTAGTTGCTGTTTGTACTGGAATATACCTTATAAATTTCAGTTAGCACATTGCATATTTTTTTCTCTTTGCTTTAACTTAGCATGAGTTTTGGATGCCATGAGCAATTCTCAGGCCATTCTTAGCTGATGGAAGGAGTACTATAGAGAGGGGAAATCGAAATTTCTAACAGTCTCCTAGCTGATGGTTGTGGCATCCCATGATATTGGCATACCCCCAAAACTAGTTTTGCTACATAACCCACATCCATTGTTTAATTAGTTGATTGACTAGGAACAGCAGCTTTTCTATACAGTATCTTGAATGTATATTGTTCAGCAAAAATTCATACTGAGCAAGTAGAAATGAGAGACTCTGGCATTCATTATGATCATAGTGATACCTCACTCCAGAATTTCCCTTTAGTGTTGAGTCTGCATAAACCATGATTTGACTGGGGTTTTCTATGTAACCTAGCAGCTGTTTTTCGCAATGTTGTATGTTAATGTCTGTGTGGGTAAGGTGTTGTGTCAGGGAGATTACAAATGTGGATGGCTTTAGGTAGTACATGCCACGTTTTATTTCCTAATTTCTGAATAATACTACAGGGCAGTGCGTTATAGGGAAGAGGATGGCATGGTATAGTGAAGAAGCAGGGAGCTGTGAGTCAAAACGTTTGTACTGCTGCCTTGCTTTCTGATCTAACGAGTTCCTAGCTCCTCTGACCCTACATTTCCTCGTTGTCAAATGTGAAAGAAAAATGCTCACTCAGGGTTGTCTTGAGGATGTAATTAGAGCCTGTAGATAAGGACTCTACATATGTAAAGTACTATCCAGATGTTATTTATTTTAATAAATAGTGATTACTATATGTCAGGTCCTTCAAAAATTATTTCAGTTATGATCTATCAACACTACAAAGCAGGCATTAGTGTTTCCACTTGACAGATAAGGAGCCTGAGATACAGAGTCCAAGTAACTTGCTTCAGGACCTACCATTAGTTAGTGATGGTTCCTGATTTAAACTCTGGTTTATTCTCTGCTACGCTGCTGTGCTGTTAATAAGGGATCAATAATAGAGGTTTGAACTTGAACAACAATTTGCATTATGCTTCTAAGAAATGAAAATGACATGCTAGACTAGGAATCAGGAGATCTAGATGGTCACTATATTTTTGCATTATTTTGGGTAAGATACTTAAATTTATTTCATTAAATACCTTTAAAACACTTGGCTATGTTTCTGCTAAGGTTTGTATGGAAAATGTTTTCTCACTGTGACTTTATATCAGAATAAAAAATTTCCTTTGAAGTGATCAAAATGTTTTATCAATTCTATTTTAATAGTTTGTTCTTTTTATTTTTAGTCATTCCTACACTGGTCAAGATTACAACACACAGGGAAATGTTGGGAAGATTTCTTTAGATCAGATCGATTCGGTAAGCATCGCATTCTCTGAAACTTATACCTTTGTCAGCGGATAAGGCATACATTTTCTTCAACTAAAGATTGTTATTGAAGGAAATCCCATGTACTATTCATAGGATTAAAAAAAAAGAAAAACCAAATTTATTCAGAAAATACCTGTGATCTGATAAAAACAGAATTTAATCAGTTTTCCAAAGGGAAATTCTCTCAAGTGATGACAGCTAAATGGTGTTTATGTGTTTATATTTAAATACCATACTCATTTAGAAAAGGTGACATGGAAAATACTAACTTCACTAGTTTGTTAGGATTGCTGTAATGAAATACCACAGACTGGGTGACTTTAACAATGGAAATTTATTGTCTCACAGTTCTGGAGGCTAGAATTCCAAGATCAAGGTGCTGGAAATTGATTTCTTCCGAGACCTCGCTCTCTGGCTTCTCCCTGTGTTCTCACGTGGTCCTTCACTGTGCTAGTGCATCCCTGGTGTCTCCTCCTTGTACACCAGTCACACGCATCAGACACCCACCCCTGTGAACTCATTTAACCTTAATTAACCTCTTTAAAGGCCCCATCTTCAAATAAATCACATTCTGAGATCTTGGGATTAGGGCTTCAACCTGTGGATTTGGGGAGGATACAATTCATTCCATAACACTAAGTACAGGTTCCCATCTTTGGGTTGCCACTAGATTAATGAACATCTTATTTCAACTTCACTTTGCAATTCTGTCGTAGAATGAAAGAGTAGCATACTTTAATTTGAAGAATTTCTGTTTAATATGTCAGAGAATTTCTGCTCTGTCCAAAAAAGTAAGACCAGACCAGCCAAAAATAATCTTTGTTTAGACAATCACCAAGTTATTTACAATAAAAATACACTGAGATTTTAATAGTTGGAAACATGAAGGTGAGTAGGAAAGAGACCATGAGTGTTTAGAGACCAGAATGAGTCGGTCATCTTGCTATTTAAAAAATTATAATCAAGTACTTGCAGTTTGATAAGCTTAGAAATAACAATAGGATTGCCCACCTTATACAGTTGATTTATAATTTGTCAAGGATGTCCCATCCTTTACTTATTTCAAGCAGTTATTTCGTTTGTAACACTTCTGCCATATGATTTGTGTTTACTCTATATTATGTGAATGGTTGGAGGTTAATTCAATTTCTGATTCTATCAAGATGTTTTCCCATTCACAAGCTAATATGAACTTGGTTGCATTCTGTGAGAAGACATAGAAGTATTATCATTAATTCATTTAGTGAATATTATTGAGCCCATAGTTACCTACCAGCTTCTGTTCTATGGATCCAGATGTGAATAAAACAGAAAATGCCACTACCTTCATAAGCCTTACTTGAGGGATGTAGATAACATAGTAAATAACAAGCACTAAAATGATATATTGTGTTAAATGCTATGATAATAACATCTGTGGGCCTATGCCTGAGGCCCTATGCTAAATGATGAAGATACAACTTTATCTGGATCTTTTCCTAACTCTGTATCTATATCGCACATCCTCACAATAGCATGTCATTAGCACACTCCTCCATATCTTCAGTTTCTTCTCCAGATACTCCCTTAAAATTTTTCTTCTAACTGGAATCTGCCTCCCTCAGTGACACTGTTTCCCCTGTGTCTCTCTTCACGTAGAAGCTGCTTTTTCCCCCACACACCCTCTTGCAGGTATGGGTGAAGGTCTTCCTGGGTCCTTATTGTCACTTCCAAATTCTCTGCCTTCCGTTGGCAGAGCTCCAGCTCCTTTAATGCCCTGTTGTCCCATTATGCCACCTGACAGCTCCCCTTGTTGCCGGTGTCCCCACTCCACTGATGACTATACCCCCAGTCATGGTTTTTGCATGAGCACTACTCCTGTTACCGTTTTTGGACTCTGCAACATCCATGTTGACAATCTGTCCCACACCCTGGCCTTAAAATTCCTTTGTTCAGTATCCACAACCATTTTTCGATCACACTGTGGCCCACCCTAGTCTAAGTGTTCTTCCTGCTTCCATTCTTGCTTCTGTACAGTCTGTTCACTGTGTAACAGCCAGAGTTCTCTTTATGTGTCAGATCATGTCAGTCTTCTGGTCAAAACCCTGGTAAGCCAGGTTGCATCACTTTTAGACTGAAGTCCAAGTGCATTAGTGGGGCTGATGATGCCGCGTGTGCTGTCGCTCCCGCTCTGGCTTCCCCACTCTGGCTCGCTCGCTGTGCTTGAGCCGCACGGGCCTTCTTGCTGTCTCTGGAGCACACCACGCTCATTCCTTCGCAGGATCTTTACCTTTGTTTCCTTTACCTGAAACAGTATTGTCAGATCTTCATTTGACTGGAATCCTACTTAATTGAAATGTATGTCTTAGCTGCAGTGTCATCTGCTCAAGAGGCTTGACTGGTCACCCAAGTTAAAATACTCCTCTCCTATTAATGCTTGATCCCATCACTCGATATTATTTCTGGTGCTTTTGACATTAGGCATTGTCCTTTTTATTTATGTCTGTGTTTATTGCCTACTTCCTCTCATTAGAATGTAAGTTCTTTGAGGACAGGGTGTTTTGACTTTGTTCACTACTGGCTCCCCAAGGCTGTATGCAGTAGGGTTCAGTAGATTTTTGGGGATTGAACAAGTAAAAGATATTCAAGGAATTTGTGCCAAAGGAAGCTCAGTTGAGCTGGGTCTTGATGAATGGTTCGGTTTTGGCTAGATGGCCTGGGAAGCAGGACCAGTGGAGTGAGAAAAATGAGAAGGTGTAAAACATGACTGTGACCATGGAGTATCCCAGCTGGCTGGACAGAGGGTTCAGATTGGTAGAGAACCAAACTGGCTATTTTTTTCCTCTCCCTGTACATTGCTTCCATGACACTTGATTTATGCCCTTGTCAGAGCCCTTATTGTATGATTTATTATATGAATTTAACTTATAGTGACTGTTTCTTTTTCCTTCATTTAACTGAATTAAAAGGGAAAATGATATTTTATTAATCTTCTTATTTCCCAAAACACCCAATTAATATTTGTTCTGTTATGTATAATAGAAAAGTAGTTACAGACATTGAAGGAACTTTGCAGTTTCATACTGAGATGTTGGACATTCATTGATGTTTTTGGATTGGAACAATGTTTAAGAAGTAATAATTTGGTGATAGTGTGAAGGAACAAGATGAACACATACATGTGAGCTGGAAGTCTTCCCAGGACTCCTGTCAAGGGAGGATAGAGGCCTCGCCTGAACTAAGCTAGGAGTGGAAAAACTGGGACAGGAGGAAGGAACTGGGTGGTCACTGGAGGGAGCAGGCAGTCACACAGAGTGAGGCCTGCTCCTGTTTGCAGGCAGAGTTGAACTTACCAAGGAATACAGGAGAGAGTAAGAGTTTGTCTTGGGAGGAGGATATTTGAGGGAATCAGAGAAAATGCAATTGAAACCATAAATGAAAAGGTTTTTGACTATTGATTTTTTAATATGTTTATTTGAAATCTTTTGAGAACCATCTCTTTTGGTTTTGTTCTGTTTTGTATTTGTGTTATCTGAGTTCATCTTTCATTTTCAGCAACTGTACTTTTGAACAGTTATCCCAGGGTAATGAAATCTTATGTGTGCTCAGAAACTTGTATATTCATTTAGTTGAAATAGCCCCAAACTGGAAACAACTGAATACCCTTCACTGAGTGAATGGTAAAATAAATGCTGGTACATCTGTACCATGGAATATACTGGCAACAAACAAGCTACTGAACCTGCAACAACTTAGGTGAATCTTGTGGGAACTTACAGAGTAAAAAGGCCAATCTCAAAACATTAATACTGTATGATTCTATTTGTATAACACTTTTGAAATGACACACTGTAGAGGAGGACATGTTAGTGCTTGCTAAGGCCTAGGGAATGGTGGGGGGCAGGGTACAGAAGGTAGGTAGGGGTGGTTATAAAAGGGAAGAGGATCCTTGTGGTGATGGAACTGTTGTACAGACTGACTTGTGCTGATGGATGCCTGAGCCTATATATATATATATAAACTGCATGTAAACCTATACATATACATATAAACTGCATAAACTAAATACATGTACACACAGAAATGAGCACATAGGTACAACTTAGAAAATTTAACACTACTGGATTATATCAGTGTCACTATTTTGGTTGTGATAAAGTTTTGCAAGATATTACCTGTGGGGGAAGCTAAATACATGGTATCTCTGTATTATTTCATGGAACTGCATGTGACTACAGTTATGTCCAAAGGAAAAGTATAATTAAAAATGAAAAAGTAGGTGAAATAAATTTTATGGCCTCAACGTAAGAATTTTAGGACACATTTCAGTTAGAGAAAAGTAGGTGAAATAAATTTCAATATCTTATTTAACCTAATATATCCAAAATATTATCATTTCAACTTTTAATCAACATAGAAATATTAGTAAGAATTCATCTGTTCATAGCAAGACAGTAATACTTCCTTAAAGCTTTTCTTTTTATTCCAGTTAGATTGAATCAGGAATTTGAAAATGAGATTGAATTTGCAACAAATACTGTGAGGGATCTGGTAAATCCTCCACATAACAAAAACTCCTTTTTCTTGTAGCTTTCTATCAAATCCTTCCCACCTTGCATGCGTCAGTTACATAAAGCCTTGCGGGAAAATCATCATCTTCGTCATGGAGGCCGAATGCAGTATGGCCTCTTTCTGAAGGGCATTGGTTTAACACTGGAACAGGCTTTGCAGTTCTGGAAGCAAGAATTTATCAAAGGGAAGATGGATCCAGACAAGGTAATTTTGAAAAATCACAGCAGTAACTGAAATTTTAATTTGGCTTGAAAACTGAAAGGTCTGTTTTTCTTTTTTGAATGTGCCCCTGAAATGTAGTTGAAAATTCTAAAAGATAAATGAGCCTGCAGTTTCCTTTAGGTAAAAAGAAACTCTTATGTTAATCTAGTAGATGCCAAACAAAGGATTGGGGAGGTTAACTTAATTCAGAGAGTAAGATTGAAACAGCAGTGTACAGTGTAGGATGTAAAATAATGTTTAAATGGAGAGTCTTCTTTGTAGGCATGCAGGTTTTCCCACTCTGAAAGCAGAGCATTCCGATGAAACCTTTCCTAAGCCAGAATGGCTTAAAGGAAGAAGCAGTTGCCGTTAATTTACATGGAAAAATTACTGAGTGTTGCCAGGCCCAAAAAATAATCTGTCTTAGACTTTTCTGATACCGTAGGACACATCTTGCTAACAGATGCACACAATAAATTGAGATAAAGCACAGATGCTCACAGGCGCAGTTCGGAGCCCTGGTGGCTTGATGCTGAGATCGGAGTGTGGTTCCCGGCAAGGGGCCACTGTCACTGCTGGGGGTGCGTGCTGCCTATATAGTCTTGCTGCAAAACAAACAGTAAATGCTATTTTCACCATTTTTCGTAAAAGCAGAAATCTTCTTTGGATTTCTTTTGGTTAGTGAAAATGGGTACTAATGTAGGACTTTGAGAAAAGCCAAATGGCATAATGCAGACTTTTGAGAAGTAGGGGTACCCGTTACAAGACTGATCTTGCTTCTCAGGTTATTTCTATAGGAATGCATATGTATATGTAATATGAATACACATATACATATACACATGCACATACATTATTTTCAGGACTAGGAGGTACTGAGAACAAATAAAGTGAAAACAATTTGAAATGTTTCCTATTGTGTTATGCAGAATCTTTCATGGAACATTTTAAAATATCACTATAAAGCTGAGAACTGCTGTTAACTCCATCCATAGCACTCAGATGCCTTCTCCTATTCCTCATTTCTCTTTAATAGTACTAGTATTTTTATGGTTTCTTATTCCTTCTGCCATACACTGTGGCATGAAGTAAATTTTATGTTGTTGCCTGGTTTGCTTCTTCCAGAAAAATCTTTCCAGAAAAATCAAACCAGTTTTGTGTGTGTGTGTGTGTGTGTGTGTGTATGTGTGTAAAAGGGATTTATTATGTGTGGAATGGCTTACGTGATCATGGAGGCTGACAAGCCCTGAGATCCACCGTCGGCATGCTGGAGACCCAGGGCAGCAATGCTATAGTTTCAGACCAGAGACTGTCAGGCTGAGATCCAGGAAAAGTCACTGTTTCAGTGTGAGTCTGAAGGCAGGCAATAAACTCAGCCTGGGCATCAGGCAGGAGGACATTTTCTCTTGCTCTCAGGAATGTCAGCCTTTTTGTTCTGTTCACCTTCAAAGGTCTGGATGAGGCCGACCAGCACTGGGAAGGGCAGTCTGCTTTATTCAGTGTGCAGTACAGATGCTAATCTCATCCAGAAACCCCTCACAGGCAAAGCCAGAATGATGTTTAACCAGATTGTCTGGGCACCGTTTGGTCTAGTCAAGTTGACACATAAAATTAGCCATCATAGTAGATAAAAATATTTATGAGCTGTGGAGAAAATTATGCCATGGGTTTGAAGTGAAAAAAATAGAGAAATTGAGCTAGCATTTTACCTCAGTTTGTGCTGTTAACTAAGAGGAGAAAGAGGAGAGTGAAAGAAGAGAAAACTTGATCCAAGTACTAGGCCTTTGGCTTTATACCTGTTCATGGACTCGCCTTTTTTTATGTGTACCTGGGATGGCCTGTTATCAATGCCATCGGTGTTTAGTTATTTCTAAATCTGTGTTGGAAAAACTTTCAAATGGGATTTTTATTTTACAACATAAAATAGTTTTCTTCAAAAAATTACTGTAAAAGAAAATCAATAAATAATTTTTGCCTTTCTAGGTAATATATAGCAGTCTTTATTTTCATTAGCTTATTGACTACAGCAAACACATTATTTTGACTAAGATTATAAGCTATACTTATGATTTACCATGTCTAGTGTTTTGTTGTTGTGGAGTATGTGTTTGTGAATAAAAGTTCATTTTTTCTCAATTATACTTCCTTTTACATGTTTTTGCAATGATGTGTGCTAATATTCCTTGGTTTATTTAAGTATTGTCTTCAGTTTAATAATTGGACCTATTAAGTGATACAGTTAAAAATAATCTTAAATGCAGGAAGTAATGGCTTAAAATACTGTTTCTAGAGAGTGATTATGGAAGATGTGTGTCAGACCCAGTTAAAAGGCTTTGCTGTTAAATGTAGGAAGGATTTGGAACAGTCACTTACGTTGAACAGCTCAGACAGTCAAGAAGAATGTTGTGGAGTTATAGTCAGTTTGGGAACCTGTTGTTTCCCAAATGACCATATATCAGATTTCTTTCTCTGTATGTTCATGTCTCATCGTAACTTATTTGAGTTATGTTGCTTTGTGCACCTGAGCAAAAATAATGGGTACTTATTTAGCATCACTCTGAGGCAGCAGAGAAGCATCAGTACCTGCAGCACTGTTTGCTGTAACTGTTGCCACGCCTGCCTTCCCTCGTTGCCCTGCCGAAAACTAAAAATTCCTTTTCCCTAACTCTTTTCTCAAAACTAAGCTGTGCTCTTTGTGAAATGACTGCCTGATCAGTAGATCTCTCCCCCATCTTCCCTTGCTTGTGTTTATTGCAGGCATTTATTTACTTGGTTAAAAAAAGAAAAAAGCTTTGAAAAGTTTGTCTGAGGTTATACATAATGTTGGAGGGGAATTTGTTGTCTGTATTGTAAAATAATCTAAAATGGTTATGTATTGGTTTTTGTGACTGTCATCCAGAGTGTAAATACTAAAGTAGCAGGTCCCTGGATACTTTTCATTAAGGTTAAGCAATTATTGTATTAGAGTCTACAAATTCTCATTTTCTCTTATTAACATTTTTGAGTAGTAGTGTGATTATGGGAGCACTTAAGGTTGCTTCTGATGCTCAGTTATTTTCGTTAGGAATTATATGCACTAAATTCTGTGTATGTAAAAAGTAGCCGTATGTCTATAAAATGCATATTCAGAGTTGTTAGTTTGGATTGATTATTTTTCTATTCTTTTAAAATTCTTTTCAGACTAGCATGCACATTACAGTAGGTAGTATTAATAGCTTTTGGGGTACCCACTTACATAGCTCCCTGTTACTTGCTACAGGTTATGCTCTTATAATTGTGGACTCATCACTACCTCATATTTATTGCTTATTTATTCATTTTTACCTACATCTTACAATTAGAATAAAAACTTTATAAAACCAGGTATCTTGTCTCTCTCTTTCACTGCTGCATGTTCAGGCACTTAGAACAGCCCCTGACTCGGCAGACACACAATGACTTTTATTGAATGAACTGAAGAACAAGTTCCCATAGAAATAAACACACAGAAAAGTAGAACATTTGGTCTATTTCCCAAAAATGTCTTCACACATAGCAGAGCACTGTCCTACGCGATTGTCTGTTAATGTGCTGTTATTCCATTTTATAGTGGGCTTGAAGCTCAATAAAACCATGAATTTTAATAGAACCTGAAATTTTCAAGAGGATCTATTGATTTTATAAATTGGAAGGAATTTCTCATTTTGGGCTTGCCAAAGAGGGTCCATGGCATATAAAAGTTTTAGAACCCTTGGAGGTGTCATGGCAGAGGTAGGGTTTCTGCCTTACTGTCTTATACTTAGTTGGCTGTTCAGCAATTGCACTTCCCATTTTTTCCCTGCTGTGTCAGGAACAGACTGCCTATACTGATCTGTCCTCACTGACACTATCCTTATAGCTGTTAGCGAGTTGCAGTGTCTTTGTGTGCACACGTGTCTTATGACTAGACTAGATTTGGGGCTACTTGAATGCAGGGACTGTGACTTTTCCACTTTTGAGCTCACGGGCTTATTAGCACAAGACCTGGCAGGTACAAGTATTTGCTGAATACATGGTTAACTTTGCCAAATTTAAAAGATGGCTTTCAGGCTGGGAAAATAAATGGTTTTGTTTCTTTTTAGATAGATATATGTTTCTAATGGGTTATTAAATATTAATACCCATTGTAGATAGCTAGCCAAATTTGTAGTCATCCATGTATTTTTCTAAATCAAAAGGTTGGAAGAATATATTACTGTATAGGAAGTGGTAACCAATTATCATCATTATAATGTGATATTATTAACCAATTAGTATGTGATGTCCAGAAATGGAGTATATACACAGTTACAAATGTTTAAAAAAATCCTGGAGTCAAATTATGATTCTTATTAAAAGTATAAGGAAATATGCTTGTGTGTATATAAACAGCTACTTTGCATTGATCATTCAACACAGTTTTATTGCTTGATCACTGGCAGATTTTATTGCTTGAATAGGTGCTGACTGGAGATACTGCAATAAAAGACATAGCCCTTATTTTGGGGGGACTTTACAATCTCCTGGAGAAATAAAAGATCAATACAAATATACAAACTCAGTATGATAATTGCTGTGGTAAAGGTGGTCATAAGGTTTTGTAGTGGAAGAGGGGAGGGAGCTGACGGAAAGAGGAGTTCCTGCGTGGGGATGATGCATCTGCCAGGTAAAGTGAGGGACTTAGAGGAGGAAGGAGTTCCGTGTTGAGGGGGCAGCGATTTCAAAGGACCTGCGATGAGAGTGTAGCCCATCTTCAGGAGGAGGAAATTTGAGCTGTGAAAGTGTAATTGTGGCTAGAGATGAGTCTGTAGACAAAGCTTTTTTTAAAAATGTAATTGCCAAAAATAGGTGGATTGTAGGCCAATAGGGAGTGGTCTTGCTAGATAGGTAACTGCCAGATGGCATCAGGTCAGCTGTGTAGGGTCAGATGAATAACTCTAATTCAGTTAAATATGCATGATTTCATAACTTTGAATATTTACTAAAATTGTATAATGTATCTGGGA